AATTGAAAATGAATTTTCCCATTAAGTATTTTATCGCCAATTCGTCAGTCCGCCCCTGGTGCTTTCGTGAATAATTATTTATCGAATGCCAATTTGACTGGGCCCTCTTTCATTTTCATGTACTTAGCTACTGTACTTTCGTTGTGCATAAGTATTATCTTGGTGCTTAGGATTCTACAATTGTTTTCAATGATACGAACTCATAGTTCACATAAAAAATAAAACAGTCATTGTTTTCGCTCATACACAGCAAAAAATTCGCAAGGTAAATGTGAAGTAGATGATTATAGAAATATATTCTTTGACAAAAGAACATTGCGAACATTTCGACTACCACTAAATTTTGTTTGATAGTTTATGGGATGTAATCTATCGATTTTAAAAATTCCGAAACTAACAGAAAGCTACACTTTCCCTAAGTAACATAGGCTGTATTTTATTTTGATAAAAATCGATATTTGTAGAACTAATGTCTAGCAAAACGATCACGTCTTGCTAATCTAAAATAAAAATGAATAACACTTGACTCCTTGTTATAATTTATATTGTATCATCAATGCCTACCTCCAGCGTTGCTGGCAATTCCAAATTGTCTACCTTTTCCTAATGTTGTTATTATCATGCTTTCCACGAACAATTTCAAAAAGGTGTGTATTGAATGTGCATGTGCACCAAGTAGACGAAAAAATGTGAATACTTCGCTCCTTATATGTAAAACTGGAAAAACACGGTAGTCAGTGAAATGTCAACGAGAGCGAGAATGGGGCCCAAGAAATAATAAACAAGCGTAATAACAACGATGATAAAAAATCACTTACATCGTTTTAGTTCCACACGCATAACGCACACTTTCTTTCGAACCACATGAAGAAATGCTGATGGTACATATCAGTGCACGGTGATTTAAAAAAACTTGTCGTTCACACGAGCTTAAAAACAACGAAAGATGTGTTAGAAAGATTTACTGAAAGGCAGGGTCAGTCAACAAAGACTTTTGTACATATTTATGTATGTACTACATTTCATGGAAGATTTGGACTGTTATCTTAATTTAGTGTCCTACATGTGGTCGAACTTCGTACAATTGTTTTTTTTTTTTAAAGTGTATGAATTCATAATGTTGTAAATACTACGTGTTACGAAGCCCTGTTTCGTATTAAGGAAAACTTTTTTCCTAATTTGTTGAGACCGCTTTTTGTTTTATACATTTTTCCTTTATTTTCCGAAATACATAATATCTATTGTACCTAAACAACCAGAGATAATAAGACTTAAATGATGGTAGTTTTATTTATTTTTTTGAGATACAAAATTTCAAATAATAAATGTAATTTATTATTCAAAAACGTCTGAATATAGCATGATGCAAAACCTATACGCTGGTAGTCAAACTAAAAAAATGACACAAAAGAAATATATGTTCATACTATGAAATATAAAGAGAACATTAAAATAAATAATACAAATAAAAATAATTCACCTGTAATTCTATAATTTAAAGATAAACTATTGGACTGTTAGATAAAAACAGAAATAATTTGTAATCATGATTAACAAGAACAATTAGCAACTAAAAAAAAAAAACAATAATTCAAATAAAACGATCTATTCCAACGTTGATAAAAATCATGATTATTTTATTATTAAAAATCGATTTTTTTGATTTTCTTAGTAATTCTAATTTTGGATAGTTTTTAAGTTTTTACTGGTATATATTCTCACGACCAATATTTTTGTTTATACAAAAGGTACCTTGTGTCCTTTTCTATTTATCGAGACTACCTATGGCTCGTTTATGATGTCTAATAAGCGTTTCGAATTCATTGATATACCACCCTATCACGAATGTATATACTTACATATAAGACAAGTTAAAGTACATCGTTAGGGCCTAGTTTAAAGCTTAAAAAAAGCTTCAGTCATAGCAAATACCCACCAGATGGCGATACATAACGTCATCCAATACTATCTGGATATAAATGCATATATCAAGAAGATATACAGTGGAATCCGTTTATAATGACATCGAAGGGAATCGACAAACACGTCATAATAACCGGACGTCATACAAAGCGGTTTGTGAAAAAAAAAATTTTTATGTATGTATTTAATTTAATAGAGAAACATAGTAACTAATGAAATCAAAATTGCACGTTTATTACGTACACATTATACACATACAAATGTATTTTTTAATGAATATAATCTGTAATTTTTGTCTGCTTTTGTTTTTTCATTTTATTGTAAAAATAGTCTCTAATACTATTGTGTATAGAAGACATCGCCATGGTCAAATTATCGTTTTCAATATTGCTATTAACAAATCGGGATAATAATTCTGCAGCTTTTAATGCCTCGTCCGCGGTAGGTAATGGTTCTTCCTCGACTTCCTCTTCGCCATCACTTTCAAGTTGTTCCTTAGCATTAATGTTCTGTACGATATTGTCATCGGTGGGTTCTTCGGATGTGAGGAGAGCGCTATCGATACTTTACACTGTCGGTCATTATAACCGGACAATTTATTAAAAGTGGGTCATAATAAGCGACATGTCAGTATAAGCGAAGTCATTATATCCGACTTTTTTATAAAGAATTTTATATGAAAACCAAACTTCGTAGTGTAATTACGTCATAATAGGCGGTTGGTCAATATTAACGGAGTCATAATAATCGGATTCTACTGTACGTAATATTTAAAAGGAATTTACAGTACATATGTATTCTTTAGCGTTGTTGTAGAGAACAAATAATTTGTAGAAAAAATTATCTCTGTACCTATATTTGTATTTCTTGTAAGACACCTATTGTTTGTTAATATACAACAGAAATGTTAAAATTTCGAAGAACCCCAGTATATGTAACAACATTCAACATCCACCACTCTTTGATACATTATAACTGGTGTACAAGGTCAAGTATTGAGCAACTGGCGGATCGCGGTCCAGGTCCGGACGACCGCGGAAGGTCAAAACCTGAACACCCAAAAATTTTTTGAAAGTAAATTACTCAAATAAATTATTTAAGAAATGTTTTTCTGTAAATAAGTAAGCAAGTTAATATATTTTTTCTGGACTTAAAAAAAATTTTGAAAATCATCCGGACCACCTAAAATTACTTGCCCAATAGGGTCAATAGCGAACATTCATGCATATGATATGTCTTCTCTATGATTTGTTTTCTAATTTATATGTGCTTAATTTTGACTGCAGTTAGTTAAACACTTACTTAATGATAAATGCGGTTGTTTGTCTACTGACTAATAGGGTTAACTACTTTTTAAAAAAAGGATGTAAATTAGTAAACGATTTAAACAGGTCGATACCCGATTAAACAATACAGAAGTCGATGAGGCATTTTGTTGTATCATTACAGAGAATGACTACCTACATTAACTCAAAAATATCTACTTCATAATTAACTCTACCGGTCAACTTACAAAGTGATGATAAACATTAAGACATTCTGCACTATTGATATATAGTTCCTAACCCTTTCCGTATCATTACCCCTTATAACCTTTTCAATCACCTTACCCCTTTGACCTTTTAGGGAAGCTGATGTTATCCCCTGAATGTCTTCAAGGCTTTCCAACCATCGAAATTGATTAACAGTGACTTCTTAAGTTTCCGTATAAATAGTTTTTAGAAAAATTAGATTTCTTTAAAGTTCATTTTATGAACTACTCTTTACAGATAAAACTTGAAACTTGTGTCAATCATGTCTTATTTATTATATACAAATTTCAGGTTTAGGACATGGGCAGTAAAGACTAGACACTTGTAAGGTGCACGCTTATAACGTACCTACTTACGTTTAAAACGTACATAAGTCCCGGTTATAATTTTGAGTTCTTCTATAACGTACTACGCTATTACATATAGTAGCTACCTACTTCTGATATAAAATACCAAAATTCCTAGTTCGAACGTTTAATAAAAAGAGCAAACTCGATTGTGGTCTAAAGGTCGTCGTCGGTTGGAATTGCTTCTTCGGTCTCTGAAGAAGTTCGCCGCTCGTGCTAGTAAAACGATAGAAAGCAATTCCAACTGATGCTGACCTTTAGACACGACTCACTACAGCATCAGCTCACCTACTGGCCGCGAAAACTTTTACCAAAAACAGCAAATTATAATACACTTTTTATATTAATATAAAAGTAAGAGTGATACAGAATATCGTATTTTGGGCGCATCGCTAGAAATAAAAAAATTATTTACAGTCAAATATTTCTATAACCGAGTTTTATTTTATGATATATAATAATGAATTAAAGATTTTAATGCAAGTTTAAACAAATTCTTTGGTAGTACTTTAAAACAAATGAAAATACTTTATAAATATGAAAGTGATTGTAAGTAAAAAGTACATCCGTTATTATTTTTAATGATTTTATGAATTCCTTTTTAAAATGAATATTCCTGAGAATTTACTGACGATCAAATGACTATGTAAAATATATTTTGGTTCGTGTTGAATAAACGTCACAAACAGATAAAAATTCCGGTAAATGTCTAGATGATGGGACCGTCGCTCGGACGAGGGCGGTGGCGGGTGAAGGGAGTAGAGAGCAACCCCAAAAATGTAGTGGAAGTTGGGGGTGACAATGTAGAGGTACAGGAGGGAGGAAATCCATCCCTATCCCCACTCCCACATTTACCCGCTATGATAATAAGTGAGACCATAAAAATAACATTTCTTCTCCCCTTCCCATCTCCCCCTCCCACGCCTCCACTTCACCACCCCCACTTCTTATCAGCGGAGACGAAGTCCTTGGATCTACCCTACCCCCTCCACCCTCGTCCGAGCGACATTAACCAAACCATAATTAATTTAATTTTTCGAAATAGTTAAAAAAAATAATAAACTTCAATACAATGTTTCGGTCTAAAACTGTGGATAAAACATAAACTTTTGTTAAAGTCGACATCTAAAACGTGAAAATGTCATCCAACAAAAAACGGTTGAAGAGAAATTAGACAGAGAAATGTAATTAAAATTACCCGTTAGTGTCCCACATAGATGAATGGTGCTTTGTAAAACTGCATCTTCTATTAACAACCATTATCACCAGCAAAAAGTTAACAGAAAAGAATAGTGACCTATTTTTTCATAAGCACTCAGCAACGATACTCCAAAACAAGAACAAACACGTAATTATCCTGTAGATACACAATCACCTTCTGTAATTGGAGACAAGGCTCTTCATAAAAATTCTGATTTTTACAGAACCAACAAGAGCACTTTGAAGAACACCACTTCCAACAAACATAACAATGTTGTGTTTATTTGATTTACACCAAAATCACTACAATGTACGAATGCCTTAGCACTTGTTTCAGACGTTTCGCGAAACGAGAAAAAGCACTTCTACTTACGTCCACTTTTACAATCGCTTTGACGATTCAAAACAACTGAAAACCGGACAACAATTTATTTATACATATATCCTACGAGAAATTCACAATGAACTGAATTTATGTATATATTTAGACCCTTGGAATTCGTTCGTAAAACATGCGAACGGACACAAGTTCTTCGCACGGACACCTGCTGCTCGCGTATCCGAATCGAAAATAAAACGGATCGCGCCGCGTAATTACGCGAACATTCGCTGAATGGTGAGAGAGACTCCCTAACATGGAGATCTATGTTCGGCTGATCTAGACGCGCTGCGCTGCTATACACGTTCGCTAACTGGTCGATCGCCTTGGCCACCAACACACCGCTCCCTCACCTGGCCTTTTCGAAACAATCAACTAATTTGGAATAGACGTATGACGTGAGCTCGATCTAACGATTGACGCGCGATTTTATGGAAATCGATTGGAAAAACACCACATTTTTGAATTTTTTACTTTGCAACATTTCCGGGTCAAAGGAAACGGTGGCAGGACACCAACACAGATCGCTTGTCCGTATCCTGTTGACTTGAAAGGAGATGGACGGATAAGGATTCGAAAAAATCAGTTCATGGCATTTAAGTGAAAAAAAATACATACCGTGGCATATAGTGAAGCTACCTTGGACCGAAGCAACGTTTATCGGAGGTATAAAATGTTCTCAGAGGGTCGAGAAGATGTAAATGATGAAGAGAGTACCGGACGACCGAGCACGTCAACAACAGGCAAAAACATTGATGAAGTGAAGAAAATAGTATTAATTAGCCAATCGCCGAAAAATCATCGTTACAGAAGTTGCTGAGGACCTAAACATATCCTAAAACCCGTTCTTTATTATAAAGTATTGTACTCTATTTCGACTGTGCGTACGTTATACTTTACAAGACACATAAACTACGCAAAAATACTTTATTTAAGGCCTTAAGTAAACATCGTAATTTTGTAAGCGATTATTCGAAATTCAGAGTATTTTTACATCAATAATATTACACAATATAATATTTTTGAGAATGTTTCTATGTTTCTGAAAGTTAGTTTGATTGACATAGTCATATTTACGGAACAACCAGATTTCCAAAATCTCTTCAAAGTAGTGTCACTTTTGCTGTCCGTTCCGGCCACTTCAGCATTTACAGAAAGAGTATTCTCTGTTATGAACGCAAAGTGGTGGGATGACAAGAATAAAGTTTGATTAAAACTAATTAAAAATGAATTTTTAGTTTATTTAAATCTTTGTTTTCCATGTTTAGAGGCTATTAATGTATTTAAGAGCGACAGCAATTTGTTACTGGCTGCTAGGTGTAATAAAAAATATGTTTCTAAAAACAAAAAATAAAATACTTTATTTTATGCTGAGTACTTTTTTTTAATCTTTTAGTCGAGAAATACTTTATGTAAAGCCTGAAAAGGTGGCAACCCTAGTCATAACTGGTGACGAATTATGGGTTTATGGTTACGACGTGGAAACCAAAGCTCAATCATCCTTATGGAAACTGTCACACGAGCCAAAACCAAAAAAAGTATTCCCCAAATTTGTAAAGTCTACATAACCGGTGCTCCTCATATATGCAATAAAACAGCGGTAACAAAGTGAATTTCTAACACAAAACTTTAAAAACGTTTAACCCGGAAAAAGTTATTCCATCTGAGAACGAGTACATTTTGTGGAAAGTTAGAACTTTTATTCTATTACATAAGTTTTCAAAACTTCTTGGCAACAACACCTAACCACCCCCAACACGAAAATTCCTGACACGCGCAAATTATTCAAATAGCTTGATCTGGCCGTATCGTACACCATTTATGTTTGGAGTTTATATACAAGTTAATTATGCCGAGTTTTTGCCGTTGCCTAAAAAGGGCAGTCACAAAGATACTTGACCTTAACTATACAGAGCAATATTTACCTGGAAAATTTTAGTTCAGATAGAGTTCAGTGAGACTCCGGCCTCGGGGAAGTATAGTACAAAAAAGACGGCACGTTTGAGGCCGGAGAACTGGGAACGACCAAAACCCAATGCAAAATAAGATGTCTCACTTTCAATGGCAATCTTACCATACATACAATGTTTATGGTCAAGTTGGCGAACGCTGACGGACGACGAAGTTTTCTGGTCGCGAATGGCAAAAAAAAACACGATCGCTCGTAAAAGGTTAAAGACTACACGAGGTCATTCCGCGTACCTCCTGGCAAGGTATCGCAGGATAATATTGTTTTGAAGCTCCTTCGGCTAAAAACATTAACGATATGCATCATTTGTTTTTTTGGAAGATAAAATTAATAAGCCACTTATGTACGGAATTTACGTTTTAAAATGTTCTGTTCTTGGTTACGATATAATATACATGATACATAACTTAATGAGATCTCTATGTACATAAATAATTAACAAAAACAATTATTTTTAGTATAACTCGCGATGGTGTGGACCTAGGATAACAGAAGCCCCGCACAAATTATGCTAGACCACCGTATACAAACTTAGACTTTTGGTTAAAGAAATAATGTTTAGTGACCTTAGTAATCGACATTTCTCCGCTGCTATGGCATTATTTCTGTAAATACCCGATATATGTACTTGGTACTTCCTTGATCGCATTAACTGGAGAGATATTGTTTTGTTGGTATAGATATTTACTTTAGATAGGTGTTATTGGTTGTGTTGTCTGCATTCTGCAAACACAAGTGATTATTGTATGTAATCAATGCATAAGTGAGACGTTGTGTCGTTTAAGGATGTTTGGGAGGTATGTCAAAATGCTACAAGACAAATAAAAATTTGGAAAAACGTTCCTCATTCAATTCTAAAACTCCTGTAAAAATTACAAATCGATTCACTAAACCGTTAAAAAGTTATTGA